GTTTCAACCATAATTCCTCATCCTCTACTTCCGATACGCATCAAAATTCCGTGGCTATGCTCACGAAATCAATTTATGCCAGAGCATGGCAAACCAATACAAACCAAAGCAAAGCCTCAAAAACCGACCCAAGACTCCAACGAATACGCTTCTAAATGGCATCATAATTAATAGCACTTAATATCAATAAATTATTTGCAAGGCGTGACAGGTGAGCTGGCATTTGCTTATGCTTTTTGCTTTTGCTTTTCTGCTTTCCTGCTTTTTTGCTTTTTGCAAAGTGTCCGAAAAAACTTCACATCGACAGCTGTCCCTTCCGCGTAATAAAGCAGACACGCCCCCCGGATAAAGCTAAGCCAGAACACCCCCTTCATCAGGACCACGAGGACCACGACCAGAACGAGAAAAAAAAAAAATAAAGTGTAATAACAACATCAGCCTCTCAAGTCCTCCATACCCACCCATTGCCATCATACTCTCCAGCCTCGGGGGCCATTCGAAAATTTTCTCCATCAACAAGGCCGCCAGCTAGGAGGTTTTGACACCAGACGCCAGACGCCCAGTCGAGTGGCGATGGAGAGGCACGACGGACGGCCAGAAGAGGCCATCAAGTGTTTTAATTAGCCCACCCAGACCCAGACCCAGGCCCTGGCCTGGCCCATACAACACCATAGACGACCAGATGCCTTTACCCCAGTTCCTGTTCCTGTTCCTCTCTCTCTGACTGACTGCCGCCTTAGTGCTATTGCCATGACCAGCAAAGACCAACTGAACGACCGACGGACCGACACCGCCTGTCGGTAATTTATGTTTTATTTATGCAAAGATATTGCGGTTCGGTCCGCGCTCCTCGACTCCAGCCAACAGATGTGAAATTGTGAAATGTGAAGTGAAGTTCAGTTTCGGATTGGGTGGTGGGGGGGGGTCTCAGTCGGTGGGTTGAGTCGAGCTGAGCGCTGGGTTACGCGTTAATATGCAACATTGTTTAACTGATTGCAGTGGCCGACGTCTAACGAACCCGTTAGCGGTTTTGCCCTGTTCGGCGGAACGGCGAGAGGGTTTTTTGGTTTTTGAGGCAGGCTAAATTATCGGGGTGGTTCTAGCCAAGTAGAGAGGGGGAAAAGGGAATAATGCAGATATTATAAACTGGCTGGCTAATGCACGAGACTTCCGCATTCAGTAGAACGGAACACTCGAAAATGGCTTAAAACTAGGGTTAGTACTGGTAAAGCTAAAAGTGGCAAAGAGGTCTATACTAGGTCGAAAAGTAGTGCTAAGATAGATGGTTTTAGTTTTTGTATCATTGAGATGGAGAGATTATATATACAAAATAATAAAATTAAAACAAAAAGAGTGAAATTAAGAATCATTAAAAGAAAGAGTTTATATACTCTTACCAACTCGTAGTTAATAAAGCTAGCAAAGCCATTGAAAAACTAATAGTACCTTCTGGAAAGTGTAAGTAAAAATGCAAAAAAAAAGAATGCGCTGGCGAAGCTTATTAAAATGAGAAATTGATTGATTGAGATAACAACGACGGGCAGCCACATCCTTGAATTAAATTACGTGCTGGTTATAAATCAAGTAATACCCACAGGATTTCGCTACCTTTGAAGGTATTTTTGCAACAAATAAAAATGTTGCTCGTTGAGGTGGCAGTAGCGGCGGCAGAAAATGGCTTAAAGTTGCAACTTTAATTGCCTGCCTGCCTGCCTGCTTGCTGCTATGCGCTGCAACTCCAAACAAAATGGGAACACAAATAAATTTTATTAGCAGACGGGAAATTTGCACAGCTCTCAAACTCTGTGAGCCGATTTCCTCAAAAGTTCAGTCGTTGAAGAAAACCCTACAGCATGTTCTCCCCTTTCTTTTTTTTTGTTAGCTCCCTCACGACCCGAGATGCAGTTTATTATACACATTTTATGTGGCGCATCTCCCCGTGTTTTGGAAGTAGTCACCACCCTACCCTACCCCATGCTAACATTGCACTTTGAAATGTACTTATTTTTAGTTTAAGAACTTGGCGTTGCAAGTTTAGTATGCCCTTTGAAAGATTTTAAAAAAATTTTTAAGTTTTTTTTAGCAATGGTTTATAGTTAGTGAGCTTAGAAAATTATTCATATATTTTTTAAATATTTTTTTTCAAAGCTTAAAATGAGAAATAATGATTAGTGAAGTCACCTGATTATAGATTAGTAATAATTTTAAAGAGTTTTTAAATCAGTTTTTATTATTATTAAATCATAAGTATAACTTTAATAAGACATTGACAAGACTTGTTTATTATTTAACTTCTTTGATCTCATTAAATCCCCACAAAGATCTGCTTATCAAGGACCACTAGAAATCACTCATTCCGTTTGCCCCTGACTTTGTCGTCATCTTCGCAAAAAACCTCACCCTTACCTTTATATTTTATTTTCCACTTTTTAGCACACCTTAAGTGCAATGTTGCAATTTTTTTTACCGCGACACTTGTTATTTTTGTTTTGATGCATTACAAATTTCATGGCAGCCACTTGGCGGCGGCGGCGGCGACGACGACTCGCGAGGCCGCCAAGATGATGTCGTAGCAACTGAAGCCAATTCCATCCTGGATTCCCATGCCCATTCCTAAGTCGTCTCAGGTTGTCAAGTAAGGGGCCCCGGCGGCAAAAATAGACGGTTAGACGAAGGCTAAGGACAATATTTGTGCTATCCACCCCGAGCTTTCCCCTTCGCACAAAAAGCACCCGTAATTGCTTATGCAAATTTTCGCTGCAGTTTTCAACGCAGCCATATACCTTTAATTCGCATCATCCCCTTTCGTACCCCTCCCTTGCGAAAAAAAGCCACCCGGAAAAGGTGGAGCACGATGCGCCACGGCGTGCACTTCAGTGCTCCTTTCGTCCTGGGCCAACCTGATGAAGTTCTCCTTGCTCACAGCTATGCATAGATACATAGATAGGTAGATATAGATAGATGGATACTAGCGGCTGCAGCCTGATTCTCTGACTTCTGGCAGAAGGCACTTTAACGCGGTTTGCAAATTGTGTGGCTGGCAAAGCGACCACAGTTCAGCACACAGATGGAGCAATCTTTGCCCCGATATTGTTGCCCGCAAATATGATGGGTTTTAAAGTAAAGCCAACATTTTCATTCTGAATACAAATTTATGAATATATTTGTATATATATTTTGAACTTTAAAAATCTCTTAGTTGGTGGATTATTCTGCTGAGAGAGATCATTATTGATTCATTGTACTAATTTAGTTATTATTTAACATTTTGATCTTACATTTTATTGAAGTTTTGATCTTTGAAAGTATACTTTGCAGTGCTGTCAATTAGATATAAATAAGGGTATATTTTATTTGCTTACATATATATTCTTGATCAAGTTGATTTAGTCATGTCCGTTTGTTTGTCCGTATGTCCGTGTAGACCCTGATATTTAAAAAGCTATAAGACCTAGAAGGTTGGGATTAATGTCAGCAGCCACGCAAATCCTCTGTAAGTCCCATAAACCGCAAAATCTTTTTGCGCCAATAATATTAATCTTAAAAGTTTGATTACACTTAAATATATATATATATTTAAATTCGATTATTATTTTACAAATTATAAAAAAATTGACAGACTAAGAGCAAGTTTTTACCCATAGATACCTCTGAACGTTAATAATAGATGGCGCTTTCTGCTGTTAATATATTTATTTTGAAATTGGTTAACAAAGTAATGGATTTCTGATAGTTATAGCATGATATTTTCTTGTGAAAGTTAAAAAAAGAAATATTAAAAACACAAAAATACACCAAAGTTTATTAAAAATATTTATTTTTCCGTAAAATTGTTTAAAATGTTTTACAAACCCGAACAGTCTAGCTAAACGAAACGTTGCATAAAGACTTATCTCTTGTAATCTTCCATTCAGTTGAATTCCACCCTCCCTCCCTCCGATAAACGCAAACCCCCGTAGTTTTATAATGAACCGAATGTTTATTCGATAACCGAGTTCTATTGAATTAATATTATATCGGGGAATCGAGTGGCATGAGAAGGGATGGGAGGGATTGAATGGGATGGGATGTGAGCCGAAAGATAGGGGGTTGATTTTGGCGATTTCATCCGCGTTTTACCGCAATCGAGGACCTCTGGTAGTGCTGTTTCTATTGCTATTGCTGTTTCTGTTCCTGTTGCCAGGACAGCTGTCGTCGTGACAATGCAGTGGCTGTTGCTGTTGCTGTTGCAGTTGCAGCTGCAGCTGTCGCAGCACCCTCTTCCACGTTCTCTTCCTCGTCCTCGTCCTCGTCCTACCATACTCGCATGCTTCCTGTTTTGCCATTTTTGTGCTGAAATAAATCCATCGTCAGTCCAGCAGCAGAAACACTCATACACACACGTCGGCTAACCGGAATCGCTGCTGCTGCTGGGAGCCACTACTAGAACTGGAATATCAGGTATGGTGAATAACGGGGTAACAACACCATCTAGACACCAAGGACCGCACCGCCCCGCCCGCCTTACTAATCAGCATGGAGCCAATGTGTTCCCTCCTGGTTTCCCAGGAGCACCACTTAATTGGCTGCGCCTGTCAATCAGCATCGCTCCATCGTCTCCTCACGTGTTCGCGTGTGCTGTAAGACTTCTTTGTGTGTGTGTGTGTGCATTCGGTTACGGGATTTAATGGGGGATATTGCCGGGTATATATGGGATATGGGGATATAAGGATACGGGATACGTCATACGGGATATGGGTGATGGCTGATGGCTGATGCGGGGAGTGTGGAGTCTATATGGTCGATTAGGCGCCTAATAGGCGACCACTAACAGTTGATCGCTTACCATTTCATGGCCTTCCATTGTGCTCAATGCAGCTGATTGTTGCCACGCTGCAGCAGCGACACTTACATAGTTCAACCGTTAATAGGGCTAATTAAATTGAAATTAAACTATAGTTAAAGTGACTTTATATTAATATCTTTGTTTTTTTTTGTTTTAATTTTTTGCATCTTTGCAGTGTGTGTCCTTGCTAACCATTCGTCATGGTTTTTCAATCTGAATATATAAGTACCAAAAATTATAGAAGCATCCAGAAGAATACGTGAAGCGCAAAAGGAAGAAGGAAGGATTTTATTATCAAACGAACCTGGTGAGTTTAAGTAAAGTCAAAGCTATGGCAGAAAAGTTGATTTAATCATTTAACTAATTTAATTAATGAACTTTTATTTAGTTTAACAAATAAATGAGGATTTTGGTCATATTTAGGAGAAAAAAAGATTTGGTTCATTAAAACTGTTAACTTTGACAGGAATTTGTTTTTATTTTCATTAGGAAAACATGTTGATATCAAAACATAACAAACAGACCACCTGTTACATACCTTTGTGTATACATAGGTAAATGCTGTTAACTTTTCCAATAATTTGTAATCATTTTTGTTACAAAGAGCACAAATTATGTGCTGCGGATGATTCGTCAGGTTAAATCAATTCATAATAATGACTGTTAATCATATCATATCTGTCGTTTCATATTACTTTACAATAATATCCTTGAAAGTCCTTAGCTACTAACAATTATTTATTTCTGTTAAATCAGGGGGGCTCAACGCCAATACTCTGAGTGGTTATTTGTTATTGTAAATGCTCTCTATTTGCCCTCCCATAAGCTTTCATCACTCGCTGCGCTGCTCCACTAACAAAGTTTCGTGTTCCTCTTTCCGCCTTATTCCGTCACCAACTGCAATGTAATTTGTTTTTGTTTTTGTCCTCGATCATCTTCAAACTCCTTGCTATTCCACTAATAATTGTTCGTGTTTCTCTTTCTGCCTCATTTGAGAATATAATTTGTTTTTGTTTCTTCCTCTTCCTCTTCCTCCTCTGCCCCATTCAGTCGCCAACTTCAATATATGTAATTTGTTTTTGTTTTTTCCTGGATCATCCTCGAATTCTTACACTGGAATTTATTCCGCTCATTCCTCTGTTTCCACTTTAAGTTTAATTTGCAGTGGACTATTTGGCGAGTCAGTTAAATGAGTGATGAATTGATTAGAAAACGAAAGTGTTTTTCTTTCTCTCAGTGCACAGCTGCAAACCAACACCAAAGCGTCACTACATATGTATGTGCAGGCTTCCTTGTATTTGTCTTAATAAATGCTTTGCTGTCAGCGAATTTGAGCATCCCAGTGTTAAATCATAGACTTAAGTAAGAAATTTGTAGGCTACTACAACAGCTTCCTTAAGATATAAAATCAGCTGCATAACTCAGCTTACTCAATCCACATAACACTTCACTTTTATTCAGTTAAAAAAAAAAAGAAGATATACTTAAAAATTCTAAAATGGCCTACATAATAGGCCATAATCCTTGCGTGCTCCGATTTCATTTTCGCTTTCATTTCACTTATCGGGCAATCGAAATTTGAACTAGAGAGAGAGGAAAGAGAGTGCTGATGATAAATTGTTTGGCGATAGTGAGTTCATAATTTATTTGATTCATTTATGGCCATGGACGTGGGCACGTGTGGTGCACACACATATTGGAAAACGCTGGTGGAAAACGCTAGTGAAAAACGTTGGTGTAATTGAGCATTTTTATGGCCGCTTGACAGATAATTGTGGCCCAAAGGGGCGGACATTGGGATTGGTTGTTAATTTACTTGTCACGCACGTGCCGCTCCCATTGTCCAAGAGACTAACTTATCTTAATGACTATGTGCATGTGTGTAAAAATGCAAAAGTATAACTGTACTGTACAACATATATGTATGTATGCCCCACGGCCCGGATGAGTCCAACGAATCTCTATCCCATTTGTGGGATACAAATCCGATGTATCCGTTTGTATGTTCTGTCTCATCCACTTTTCCACTTTTTGTGATGGTGGTGGTGATATGGTGGCAATGCAACTCGGTCTGAAACTGCAGATGTTCTATTTCCTGACTTTGGGAAAGATTTACTAAGTAATAGGAGTGGGAGAAATATTTATTTTTATTACTTTAAGATCTGTCTAAGAGCATAAAAGATCTCATTATATTACATATACAACAATTATAACAATGGTGGCAACCCTGGCTGATCTGAGATTGAGAAAGATAACTAAGTAATAGGCACAAAAGAGTACAATTATAATATTGTTTTAAAATATATCTAATAGGTTGACAAAATGTCATCAAATGAATAAGAAAAACATTGCAAATGTGGCAACTCTGGCTTAAGATTTCTGTAAGTCTTTATTATAAAATAAAAGAAAAATTGTTCTTAAATAAACCTAAAATCTTGATTCATAACAATGGCAACCTTAATCATATGTTCGGCTAATGCTTGTTTTGATTCTTACGGTGATAAAACTTTAATTTGTCCGAGCTTTCGATCGAATCTTGCCTTGTTCACTTACCCTTTCTTATCTCTTTTTTTTTTGTAAACAGAGCGATCGAAATGCCGAAACGAAATGCCTGCATAGGCCTTTTTTGCCAAGGCAAAGCAGCTCCGGCCAGCTTCCTTTTTCTAAAGTAAAACAAAACCAACCTTAAAAACGATCATTCATAATAAAAAGATAGGATTTTTTTCAACTAGTACTAAAAACTCAACAAAAAAAAAACTGTCCAAAGTTTACAATGCGAAAATGTTCCATAAAAGGTATTTAAATTGTTTGCAAAATAAGAATAAAAATGTTTGTAAACTTTTTATGTGAAAACTGCAATACTATATACATAGTATTTATTTAGCAGAAAAATAAGTTTCAGCCTTGTTACTGCACATGTTCCGACCAAAACCGACGCCTTGCACCATTGGGTCAACCCTTTGTAAGTTTGTTTCCAAGTCCAAGTAAGCAATAATGAATTTATGCGCAACAAAAATAAATGAAAAACAACTGCAACAATAGCCTGGCCGCCGCCACATTCATGCTAAAATTGGGGGCAAAGGACTGGAAAACAAGAAAAAGAAAAGGAAAAAAAAAATAAATGAAAATGAAAATGAAGGCCAACAGGTCAAGCTGGAAAACAAGCACACGAGACCGACGCTTGAGATCATCTTTTGCCACTTACTCGCCCAGTGAAACAAATGGCAAACAGGTGTAAAAATGGTTAAGAGAAAAATAAATGGGCAAAATGTGTTTCGACAGGGCGCCGGGTTTTGCCTCCTCCACTTTACCCACAAAATGGTGACCCCAAGGGGCCAAAGCCTGGCGACCTGCGACCTAAAATTATTAAATTCCGAAACGGCGATTAAAAAGTACAACGAAGGGGGTGCTAGGAGAAGGCCTTCTATAGAATCTGACAGGGAGCAAAAGCCTCCTTTGCCTGCCTGCCTGCCTGCCTGCCTGGCCCAACAGCCCTGACAAATCCAGCACAGATGGGGCTAACAAAAAATGAAAAAAAAAAAAACCAAAAACGGAAAAACCAGTGGAGGATGAGGGAAAACACTGGGGTTTTTGGGGACCAAAAATAACAAAAGCCTCAAAAGCCATTGAAAAACGGTTGCTGCCCCGGCCGGTCTTGACCGTTCACATCTACATCCTCCAGCTTGCAGATTCTAGTTACCACCTACCAGCTCCACCTCCATTTCCATGTCCATGTACCATGTCCACCAACGAACCAACCAAGTCCTGGTTGTCCCCAGAGCTCATGTCAGCGTGGGTCCAAGCCTCTCGGGTTGAACCGATAAGCCTAGAAATGTTACAACTGATTGTCCCGCCTGTATTTTTCGGGGACAGACTTCTGGATGTTGTTTGGCAGTGTTGGGCAAGGGGGGAAAGATTAGGGAACGGATGTGGCATAACAGCGGCACCAAACGAGCCAAAATGCTTCATTTATACCCAAATCGAAAATCTCCAGAGTCATAAACAGGGAAAGAGTTTGTGTGTGTGTGTGTGTGCGACACCGGATTTGGTCGAGTTTTTAAAGTATTTCTTTATTGACTAACTGCATGAGCCAAAAGCCCAAAAAGATCTCCGAGCTGTGATACAAAAGACTCAAATTGGTTCTGACATCGCATTGAGCATTCAACAGATGCTTTCATTTTGTTAGAAGTGACATAAAGGTTTCCCCAAGTCAAACGTCGATTCGCATTACTGTCCCCTCTCAGCTTTTCTTTTCATTCTCATTGTTGGTATTGTATTTTCCTTTTCTTGTTTTGGATTTGGATGGATGATGAAGGTTCTGGAACAAACATATTCAACGTATCACAGATAACTGCTCTTACTTTTTGAAAGTAAATTCCTTAGCCTTATTTAGTTGATTTTTAACCTACTTCTAATACCAATAGATTATCGGAAAAGTAATCGAAAAGTGGTCTCTAGAAGAAGCTAACACATAAGACCCCCTATCGAGGGTAACAAACTGAATTAAATCGAGTGAATCCTTGGGTTTTTCCTGTTCTTGCTGCTGCTGATGCTCCTCCTCCTTGTGCACTTGTGCTCATGTGTAGACTGCATTTAGCCATGTGGCAGGAGAAAAGGCGCAGAACTGGAGACAGGTGTCCTGGTTGAGTGCACATCCACTGACAACGTTGACTTTGGCTGCTGATGTCGCTGCTGATGTCGCTGCTGCTACTGCTGCTGCGGCGTGGACAAGAAGCGTGCTTCCTGTAAAGAAGATTGCAGGGAGACACAAACTCTGGGCTGTGATGTCAACTTGAAAACTACATCGCGGCAACTTGAGCTCGGGGAACTTTGGCCCCTTTGCTCACTCGTCTAAATCTAACCATAAATATGCAATCGAAGCTGGTTTTTCCTTCTTTGCTTACTAAATACTTTATAAACCACCCCAAAAGCTATATATCTGATATAGAACTTTGTGGCTTTAGTTAATTTAAAGTTGTATACCTTGTCCAAAAAGAGAGAGAGAGAATGTCTTTGAGCGACTTTCTTAACGTTTAAAAGGCAATATAAAAGTTTTCTTCTTTTATGTGCCCAACAGGTTTAGCTTCTTAAATAATAAAACAAGAACGAAAAAAAGCCCACCTGTCCCGCCCTTCCCCTTCCTTCATTTGATACAAATTATGTTGCATAGTCGAAAGACATTTGGCCAACTTTTATTCAAATCAAACATTTATGGTAATTTTATAGAAAAGTTATATTGATATTGACAATACACAAAAACTTAGTCTGTCCCGAAAGCAATTTTTTTCCGGCTACAGCAGGCTTGTAGATTTTCGCGATTTTTCCAGTAGGATAGGTAGGTTGGGGGCTTGGAGAGTTTTCAGCAGAATTTTCTGCATGGGCAATTTTAGCAATCCTGGTACTCGATGTGTACCAATGCCAAAAAATAAAACAAAAAACTGTGGCAAAGGCAAAATGCGTAAGCAGAAAAGTTTGCAGCACAAACACACATACACACACACACACAGAGACAGGCACACACAGAAATGGATTTCCCAAAACAGTTTTCGGGGTACATAAATCTAAATGAGCTTAGTGTGTGTAACCATGGCTGGGAAAAAAGAGAGATTTATTGTTTGATTCTGCAGCAACAGCCACGCCCCCAAATTTCCACCTCCACCATAGCCGCGCACGCCGCCCAATCATTTTTGCACCTAGTCTTCGAGCCTCGAGGCATTCTTGTTGAACCAAATCTTTATGGATTTCGTAATGTAGTTGGATTGACATCGTTCCCTTATTTAAGGAAGGGAAAAATCAGAGAGAGAGAAGCGATTCCAGGTACTAAATCCATTACCTGCTCGGGGCCATAATCTCAGAGGGGTTGTGGTAACCGCAACTAAATTATTGCTGAAATAGTATAAAAAGGTAGAACAATGTATATGTATATATGAAAGCAACAATATTAAGCCGATTTATTTCGATTTTCATTAAACCGAAAATGCATTTGTACAGAAATGACTGTGTGATGATTATTTATAAGCTTCTAAAAACAAAGGTATGCAAAAATAGCAAAACTAGCAAAAATAATAGAAAACCAAAAACATACAAAATCTATGCAAGTTTCAAATTGAGAACACACTTTTAGGGAGTTTCGATTTCAGCCCCCCAACTTTTCCTAATATATATTTAGATTTAGATTTCGTTTTTTTACACTCCCTAGGGTGCGGCAGATTTTATATACAGATATAGAATTTCCCCGTAGGCAGCTACAAGGGAATTTCCATCAGAAATAAGACCTACTTTATTGATAAATATTTTATGTTTAGTTAAGGTTTTTACTCTTTGATTATTAATAATATTATTGAACTAATAATTAGCTTTTCTTTCTCTCTTACAGATTGCCAGGTTCCTGTTAAATGGGTACGTTACCTAATATCATAAATATTTTTAGCAAAACTTTTAAATTAACTTAAAAACTTGAAATGAAAAAGTTGAAAATCGCATAAAATCAACCACAATTGCAGTCAAATGCAATTATCTTCGGCACAAACAACAAAGTTATAAAACTTTTGCGGATCGTTAGATGCCACTTTACTCAGTCGATTTGATTAATGTTTCTGGGCCAATTTTCTATGGCATTTTCTGCACTTTCCTCTTCTCTGTTTCCCCGACAAGCAAATGCCCCACATTGGCAGCAATTTCTTTTTGTTTTTTGTTGTTGTTGTTTTTTTTAACTCATTACCGCCCACTTCCTACGCCACATACATTGCAAGCGTATTATTCGTCTTTGGAGTTCCACGGAAAATAATTAACATGTCAGTTCGGTTTGCTCGTAAAACTTTTGCACACACCCTCGCACTCACACACAGACACACACACATTCGCTTCCTCACACACTCTCCTTTCACAGACACATACACAATGGCACGCAAACTTCCGCCCACACACATACATACAAATAATAGGAAAAAAAAGTAAGAAAATGAAAAAAGTAAAAGCAATGTTTTGTCGCGTTGTGTTCCGCTTGCCAGAGTGAGTGAGAGAGTTAAAGAAAAGAGTTGAGGAAAATTCCGGTAAAAATGTTCCTTTTTAAAGAAAATGCTCTGCATTTTAATGGCTAAAATGTGTAAGAAATCAAAACATGCAATACAACAAGCAGAAAGCGAAAAAGAAAAGGAAAAGCTGGCCGAAACAAGAACAATTTGTACCGAGGTCATTCTGGCATCCATTTCACAAGAACAACAACAACTAAAAACCGCAAATGACGTATACAAATAGCCAACTAACTAAAGAAATAAAAAAAAAAGAAAAGAAAAAATAATAACAGAAAAACTTAAGAAAACGAAGGCTTCATGAAAGAAAGTGCATTATTTTGTAATTAAATGAAGTACTTTTCATTATGGTATTAGTGATAGAGAAAGTGGTTTATTTCCAAAGTTTGTAGATTCCAATTTTAGGACATTCTTTCTTTTACTCTCAACTAAGCTTTGTTTACTAAGAACTTTCTTATTACTGATCTTAGGGTTACCGCTGAATTTTATTTTTCAATAACAGATTTTCATGTAAAACAATGTCTCCCCCAAACCCTTAGTTTCTTACCTTACTAGGTCTCAGTAATAGTTACATGAATAGTTTTATGTTTTCTTTTCGGTTACATTCTCCACACAGAAATGTAGATTTATTTTGCTTGAGTACTTTACCAAATTTCCTGCGAAATGTGCGAAAAAAATGGAAAAAGAAAAGAAAAAGAAAAATAGAAATGGTAACAACTCTCTGAGGTAAGGAAAGGTCTTGAAACGCGACTTAAATTCTATGTTATGAACACCGGTGCCGACCTCCTTCGTTCTGCGTCCTACTCGCTCCTTCTTGGCCCTTGTTTTTTTTTTTTTCTTTTCTTGGCGTGGCTAATAAGATTCACTCCACTTTTCCCTTTTGCCCCCACTCACTCGCTCGCTCGCTAGCTGGCTCACACGCTCTCGCACTCTGTCGCTCTCTTGATGGCACTTTGCATGCAAATTGTGTTCTATTTGCATACTTTTTGCAGCACTGGGATGCATATGCATGTACGCCGTGCAGACACATACCTACACGGCTAAAAAAGAGCTCAGAAACAAGAACAAGAATCACCTTGATATCAATTTAATATTCGCAACTCAAATAGATATTTACATGTATCTTTGAGATGATGGAATTATATCATTAGATCGTTCTCACTTCACTCGATTTACTTTTGCATAAAGAAAATTCTAAGGAATTGGAAGAAAATGGGGAGCTTGGATAGTTTAAAAAGAATTTGTAATGATTTGGATTAAAGAAATCTCTTTAAAATGTCATTTCATTTGATGGATTACCTAGTAGGTCGTACTACTGCTTCTTAACTGCTTAAAAATATTTATCTTTTTAGCTTTTTTAATATATTTTAATATTTGATATTCCTGATTTAATCCAATTAAGAATCAAATTTAATATAATACAGTAAAATATGTTATGAATTCATTTCGTTTACTTCTGTTTCTTAGTGTAAGCATAGATATATATTTGAATGTCTCTGTCGCACATTATGTATAGCCAGGCACTTATACTGCATTGTCTGAGTGCGAATGTGGATAAGTGTGAGTGTATCCCGTCCCCCATGTGTTTAAAAAAAAAATAAGCTCTTCCTTCTCATACCTAGATATCACCTCTGACTTGTGGTTAGACCCCTCTCCCCACCCAAAAGGAATCCGCTCATCTGCTAACCAAATTAAAACCAGGTAGTGGATATTTACAATACAAACCAAAGTTACCCCAAAAAGTGCTAATCGGTATGCGAAAGAGGTTGCCTCTGGAAGCATATGCAAAAATTCAGTTTTCTTTCGAATAATAACATGGCTAACTGAACAAGATCTAGAAGAGGTAACCCTTTACCCATAAAATATTCTAGGAACGTTTAACGATAGGAACTGTTACTCCTACCCAAAATAAGATATAACCTATATTTACTCAATGTATAACGGTTATAAATAGGTCTTATTATTTTTCAGCTCATAATTCCTAGATGAAAGTGGGCACAAAAAACTTTTGCTAAGCATTCTATGATTCCAACAATACATCACATCATAGCCCTTGCGAGTGCCTTCAAAGTTTCACTCCTGACGAGGACAACAAACTGCAGTCACTTTGTTTGCCCTGGCCACACTGTGAGTGGCAGAGTGGAGTAGCAGTGGATGTGCTACTCTAGTGCTAGTCCTAGTGCTATTGAACTTTTGCAAACTGTGCTCCTATTCTTCGCTTCCTTGACTGGCCTCTCTTCTCAAGCTAAGTTTGCTCCAAGTTGTTTTCAACATTTGTTGTTGCTGTTGTTCTGCTGCTGCTTCTGTTGCTCCGAAGGAAATTGAGAAACGTTGAAATGGAGAAATGGACAAAATGTAGAAATGGAATAGCCGAGAAACTGAGAAACTTTTGGCGCCAGCTTAGCGGCGCTCAACTTTTAGCTTTTCTCCCTTTTTGGCAGGACTCTCAAGCGCTCATTTGTTAAGTTTGCTGGCATGGCAAGTCGAGAATATGCGGTAGCTTTATATATATATATATATCACAGGGCCAGTAAAGAGGGAGTGGAGTGAGTTGTGTCGGAAGGCGGAAGAATGGGGCACGGCAGACAAAGGCTCGCCGTTCTTCGTTGGGCTTCCTGCCTACAATATGCCATATGCCATATGCATATGCACATAAATTTTGTTGCATTTCAAGTATTGCACACCAGCAGAGCAGAGCTCGGGGACTACTACGTACTACGTACTACTTCTACTTCTACTTCTGCAACTACAACTACCAGAAGCACCACCACACCGCCACCATCACGGCGACGAAGACGACGACTGGCTCAGCTCGAAAGGACTCTCAACCACTCAAAGGATGGCAAACAGAGCCGGCATACACATCACTTGACTGCATGTGCCCTGGAAAGTGACTTGCTTTTGGGCTAAATTTTAGTGGGTTTGTCTAGCAGCTTGTCGTGCACGTAAACCAACCGAATTTGTCCATTACAATTGCATCCGAGCCCAATTCCGCTACCCCGCAGCGCAGCAATATATAAATCGAACCCATAGAAGGCAGTAGAGTAGCAAACTACGAACTACGAAAGATAACATTTTCCGCAGAGGGCTAGAGTTCAAGTTTGTCTTGTTGGCTCAGTTGGAAATAACATAATTGAGGCTTCCATGACACTATCTTTATTATGTCGAGGATTTTGAGAGCTTACATAAAAGACTCAGTTGGGCGTGTATAGGAAATCTTTGAATGTAAACTCACTATTTCATTGTACTTACATACACGATTTCTTGACACATGTGTCGACAGGTTGATAATGCAGGCCCAGACTACTCTTCGTTACTATTTTATAAGTTAAAAAATTTAATATTAATATTTTGATGATATACCCCTTTAAAGATATAAAAATACAGGAAAAGCTCTTATTTTTTAGTTGCCGGACAAGCTGACAGCACGAAAATTGTTATTCCTCTTTAAAGGCAAGAGAAGACATGCAGCGCATGGTCAAGAAATGTCGTCTTACGCTGCTGTCTTGGCAAGTTTTAATCGAAAAATCCCATAAAATAAATTTAAAATTCAATAAAAACGCGACGGGGGATGCTGCTCAGTCAAGTGTGTGGCAGAAAAGAGCAGGACAGCGAGCTGTTGGTTGTACACACGGCAAAAATTGAAAATAAAAACAAGTGAAAAACTTTATAGTCGAAATTTCCCGACTACGAAAGTACCCGCTACTCACTGGTTGTTGCCTGCACGCAAGCGCAAAATGGTAACATATGGTAATATTCTTAAAGTGGTTTCTTGTTGTATTTCATTTGGAATTTAAGGAAGATGATCTTAAATCTTAAGCTCACTATTAACTATAATAAACTTTCTGAAAATGTTACAAACACCTGGTGAAAGTTATAATACTCCGCTTTTGACAAGGGTATAATTATACACAGAAGCGGACAACAATGAGCGAGCTACGCTAGTGGGGCAAAGGCAAAGGCAAAGGCACCTGATACAATCAAACTTTGTTTGGGTGAAAATAAATTAAAACTGCAGGAAGCGTCAAAGCGCACGGGAACAATGACATCAAAAAGGAGGCGAGACGATGGGACTCCTAGGGTTACGCCAGGGATGCCTGGTTTTGCAAGGATGCGAAGTCGAAACCATGTCCATTCATGTTCCTTTTGCAACAGGATGTTGAATCGATTGAATGGTCTAGTTTAAGGTTGCCTAGTCTCATTTTGCCCTTGTTTTTGTAATTGCTATTCGCTGCTATAGAACGATTGTGCATCCTAGTTTTCCCACACAAAGAGCTTTTGCCCATAAGGGCATTTGTGGCCCTTTTTGCCTTCCGTTTGCTTTTTGCCACTAATAGCAACACTCTAGCACATGTGTTTTGGTGTTTT